ACTGGAAAATAAAATGCAGTGTAGGAATTTTGATAATTATTCAGCTCTAAATTGCTCTTGGAGATGAGGGAAAGTTCACAAAATGGAGGGGGTGAGGTGGGGAGGTGGATATAGGAAATCTCATGTTGCTAGATAAAGAGCTCTACATAGCTGTACATGTTCATCCCTAATCCATATGAAGAAAAGGGTTGAATTTAACCACTAGTTGACAGATTTTCTCAGTTAACTCCATTTTAATCACTTATTTCTCTTTTGTCTCTTTTCCAGATCTTCCTCAGAGGAATAAATAGGCTTGTTGCTTTACAGTGTTAGTGACCCATTCCCTTTGACGATCCCTAGGTGGAGATGGGGCATGAGGATCCTCCAGGGGAAAAGCTCACTACCACTGGGCAACAACCCTAGGCAGGAGGTTCACCAAAAATACTTTCCTGGGCCCTGATAGGAAGGTGAAGTCTCAAAGACAACTATCACAGGTGAAGGTGGGTAACTTGTCCCTAAAAGTGAAATAAATTGCTATAATTTTGATCTTATTTTCCAGTACACTTATAGTAGCTTTCCACTGAGGTTATATTCATAATTATCCTGTATCTGCTTTGCTAAAAACAGCTTCCTAACTAATCTGGGAAGCACCTGTGTGAAATTAGTGAAAATGATGCTGTGTCTGGGTAGCAGGCTACATGATTTAGGGTGTTTAGGGTGGGAATAATGTGCTAAATTGTTTTTTTGTTTGTTTGTTTTTTAGGAGAATGTGGACAACTGACATGTAAGTAACATTGATATCATGGAGAAATCATTCTGTTCCATCTCATCCTCAAAGGCTCCCTTTAGGCTCTATAGGAGAACTTTGTCAATCATTTACATACAAGATGCCTTGGGATGTCCATAGGATATAACATAACATTCAGCTCTTTGATAAGATAAATAAGAGTTTTATCCTCTTATGCTGTGCTTGCTGATTGATGGATGCCTCATAACCACAAATGGAAACCTGACAAAAAATGGAACAAAATTATCAGTCATCAGGCAGGATCTAAAAAACCAGGGTGGTTCTCTAGGTCAGTGATGGGAGAGGTTGACTGGGGAGTAAAGGTTGGTAGATGAAAATGACCATTCAGTGCAGTAAATCCTGATTATAGGCTTATCCAGCATTCTTCATAATGACTAGGTACTCTGTAAATTTCATGAGATTTTTTTTAATGGAAATTTTATAATTGACAAGAAAGATCCATAGATTTAGAAATAGTGAAAATTATTATTATTATTTTTAGAGACAGAGTCTCACTCTGTCCCCCTTGGTAGAGTACCGTAGTGTCACAGCTCACAGCAACCTCCAGCTCTTGGGCTTAGGTGATTTTGTTGCCTCAGCCTCCCGAGTAGCTGGGACTACAGGTGCCCGCCACAACGCCCAGCTACTTTTTGTTGCAGTTTGGCTGGGGCCAGGTTCGAACCCACCACCCTCGGTATATGGGGCCAGTGCCCTACTCACTGAGCCACAGGTGCTGCCCAATATTGAAAATTATTAATAGCACTTATTAGAAAGCCTAGGAATTAGAGTTCTCAGGTGAGAGTTATTCAGGAAGATTGTTCCTCTGGCTGTGTTTTGACAGTCCTGAACCAGGAGACTTAAATAAAGCAAATTTGAGGCAGTCCTGTTTTTAGGCCTCAATTCTCTCTTCCCTTCATATCTATTGTTTGTTTTTGTGATCTGAGTTATTATTTATTTATTTTTGAGACTGAGACTTACTTTGTCGCCCTTGGTAGAGTGGTGTGATATTACAGCTCACAGCGACTTCAAACTCTTGGGCTTAAGTGATTCTCTTGCCTCAGTCTCCTGAGTAGCTGTTATGTTATCGAAATTCCTACACTGCATTTTATTTTCGTAGCTGCCCACGACAATGCCCGGCTATTTTTAAGAGATGAGGTCTT